GTGGGGGAGGGGGGGGGGTGAAGGAGGATCGCCATGGGCTCCCCATGGGCGCATGTTATATGTTTTGAGGCGGGCCCGACTTTTATTGTTGAGCCGTCGAAATTCGCCAATCATGCTCGTAGCAGTTCGGATGCAGAACATGATTGAACTTGGGCAATCAGTAGAGTTCTGCAAGCATTGCTACGTTTTGACGATGAGCTATGACGATCAATACGATGAGCTACTTGTGTCAATGATTCATATTCCGTATTGCTAGTGTGAGTTGAAAGATGCTCTTTGATTTCTTGCGCTCTAGGGTAATGTTTGTTGTGTTGATAGATGAGCTCTTCAGCCACCTCTGGCGAAAAGATGACTATCTCTGAACCAAGCTCACAAGAGTCTTTAGAAACGTTGCAAAGTTTGTGAAATTTACGGAAAGGAATAGTGTAGATGTATCAGAGGAATAAAAAATTGGTGCACATGAAGGGAAGAACGAAGGAGACCAAGGAAACAGAGGCTGGCAGGCAAAGCAGGCAACGAGTGTCGGAATGAGCGCTGGTAGGAAAGGGAACAGCAGGCGGAGGAGGAGGGAGAGTATGACGACCAACAAGAGGACCAGAGAAGGCAGAGGGAAGGGAAGAGGGGAGGGAGAGAGGGGAGGGAGAGAGGGGAGGGAGAGAGGGAGGGGAGGGAGAGAGGGGGGTACGCCGACTTGAGGAATTGACATGAAATATTCTACATTCACGATTGGTCACTGTTTTCCTGTAGCCTGAATTCGGATAGGTGTGTCAGCCGTAACGCGTCCAAGCAGGCAAAGGTGGTGTTCATAGTACCAGGTTAGCCTATCATAGCCTCACTTGCAGTCACTGCGACACAAGTTGTTGAGCGACACTGAGTTGGTGAACCTCAAATGCTCTTCTTGCCATGTCCATCCCATCAAGACTTGCGACACGTTGCCGGATCCCAGCGTTGTTGTTTGACATGCTGATCAGAGCTCTGCAAGCTGCCTCCTGTAGCCCCGCGTTCTCCCCGTGTTGCTGCATCGCTCTTACTACCGCCTCCACCCCTCCCGCCGCATCTGCCTTGACCTTGTTCTCTTTGTTGCCAGCAGTCAGTCTGTGCAGAGATTTGCAAGCTGCCTCTTGTACTGCCGCGTGATTCCCATGCTTCTCCATCGCCCTCACCACCGCCTCGACCCCTCCTGCCTTGTTCGCCCTTTCCTGAGTCTTCCTGTTGCCAGCAGTCATGCTGCCCAGAGCCCCGCACGCTGCCTCCTGCACTTCTGGATTTTCCCTGTAAATCTCCATACCCATGACCACTACCTCCATCGCTCCTGCAAATCCTGCCCTGTCCTGGCTTTCTTCGTTTCGGTCCGTAATCGTGATCAGAGCCCTGCTGCCTTGTACCTGTACCTCTACACACTTCAAGAGTCTCCTCATTGCCTTGACCACCTCGTTGACTACATCAGCCCACCCCAACTCAACTTGGATCTCGGGATCTGCTGCTAGGCTGACCAACAGCCTAAACCCGGTAACTACCAGCTCAGATTCCGTGTTGTACTCAAACAGATTATGGACCATATCTCGGATACGAACAGACGATTTTCTTATCTTGTTCAAGTTCTTGGCGTTGCCGGCAACCATGCTCTCCAGAGCTCTGAACACAAACTTTTTGTCTGTGTCGTTATACACATACTTTGTCGAATTCTTCATTGCCACTTCAATGCCGCCCGCCGCCTCCGCCTTGTCCTGATTGTCACTATTCCCAGCCGTCATGCTGTCCAGAGCTCTAAAGGCTGCGGCGCGTACAGATCTGTGACTCCATTTTTCTATTGTCTGCACGACCGCTTCGATCCCTCCTGCCGCCCCTGCCCTGCACTGGTTCTCTGCATTGCCAGCAGTCATGCTCTCAAGAGCATTGAGCCTTTCCTTCTGTAGCGCCACAGTGGAGTCATGATTAGGAGCCTCAGGATCTTCGTGGGGCAACAGGGTCCCCAATGATACCACCAGCTCAATCGCTTTCGCCGCTGCTGCCTTGATCTGATTTTCCTTGTTTCCTGAAGTCATGCTGCTCAGGGCCTTGCAAGCAGTCTCCTGAATCCCAAGTGATTTCTTGTACGATCGCATGGCTTTCACAACTGCCTCGATTCCTCCCGCTCTCCCTGCCCTGTCCTGATTATCTTTGTTGCCACGGGTCATGCCGTCCAGAGCACGGCACGCCGACAGTTGTAACTGTGAATCATCAAGGCTGACTTCACTCATTCCCGTAACAACCGCCTCAATCGCTCCAGCCGCCGCTGCCCTGACCTGATTCTCCTTGTTGCCATCAATAACAAAGGCTAACGCACTGTACACCGACTGTTTCACATAGTCACCATCCCCATGTTGCTCCAACGTCCTCATTAATGCCTCAATCCCTCCAGCCGCCGCTGCCCTTTTCTTATTCTCTTCGTTGTCAGCTACTATGTTGCCAAGGGCGTTGCACGCTGCGTCGTATGGATACTGGTCGTCCCCAGACATCCCCATCATCCTCACTACCGCCTCAATCCCTCCCACTGCCCTTACTCTGTCCTGGTTCTCCTCGTTGTAGGATGTCAAGCTTTCTAATGCCCTGCATGCTGCGACACGAACATCTTCGTTCTCCATAAACTTTTCCAACGCCCTCGCTGTCGCCTCGATCCCCCCCGCATCACGTGCTCTTTGCTGGTTTTCTTTAACTTCGGCCAAGAAGTATAAGGCGTTGCTTCCTTCTTGCTGCACCATCGGGTGATCGACATGCCTTAGCATCCCCCTGATCACTACCTCAATCCCTCCTTCTCGTCCAACGAGTCCGCAGTCCTGAGACGTACGTCCCTCAGTCATGATGTACAGGGCCTTGAACGCTGCATACAGCACCTCCGCGTTTTCCATGTGAACCTCGGCACTCCTGGTAACAATGGAAATGCCATCCAAGTCAATCGCTTTACCTTGGTTCACTTCGTTCTGGAAAGTTAAGGTGCACAGAGCCAAGCATGCAGCCTCCTGAACTCCTGCGTGCTGCCAGTTCTTTTCCATGCTATTCAAGGTTGCCGAGATGATCTCATCTTCTTCTGCCTCGGCTTGATAATCGTCGCAGTATGGGATCGTGGATGCCAATACCCTCAACGCTGCTTCGTGTACATCCGCACCCCACTCCTCATTTTCAATAATACTGGCAACATGAACATACCATTCTTCGTCATTTGCCCGTTCGATCAATTCACAGTTGTCTTTCGTCATGCTTATGAACGCCTTGCATGCGCCTTCTTTTGTGTCTTCGAACTTTGAACACATTTTATCCAAGACAACCTGAACTCCTCCTGCCTCTCCCGCCCTCATCTGATTCATCTTGTTGCCATCCGTTAAAATGGCTAACAATTCCAAAGCTGGATACATCATATACGGGATATCAAAAAAACGTTTGATTCCCTCAAGAACTTCTTTGATAGCTCCAGCCTCTCCAGCCTTGTCCTGATTTTCTGAGCAATCAGCAACCAAGGACTGCATGGCGTCGATCGCGTATTCCCAGTACGTCGATTTGAACCCATGCTTCTTCATCCCCTTGACAACTGCTTCGATCCCTCCCGCCGCCCCCGCTCTGACCCGATTCTCCTTGTCTCCAGAAGTCATGCTCCTCAGGGCCCTGCAGGTTGACTTCTGTACCTTCAAATCCCTCCTATGCCTCACCATCGCCCTCACTACCCCCTCAATCCCACCAGCCGCCGCCGCCCTGATCTGATTCTCTTGGTTGCCGCCCGTAAAGCTGTCTAGAGCCCTGCCCGCCATCAGTTGTACCCCTTTGTGCTCTTTATGCTCCTCCATCGCCTTCACTACTGCCTCTACCCCTCCCGCTGCTCCTGCCCTGACTTGATTCTCTTTAATTTTCTCATTCCACTTCTTTCCAGCCCCGAAAATCATGCTGCCGAGAGCATTGCACGCTGCCTCCTGCAACTCTGAATCCTCCGTGTGCTTCTCCATCGCCCTTACTATCGCTTCCATCCCTCCCTTCTCCCCCGCCATGATCTGATTCTTAGTGTCGCTCACAGCCATATTGCTAAGGGCCTGGCACGCTGCCTTCAGTACCGCTGCATTCTCCCCGTGTTGCTCCATTGCTCTTAAAACGGACTTCATCCTTCCGTCCGCCACTGCCTCTGCAAGAATCTCTTTGTAAAAAGTCATGTTGCCCAGAGCCCTGCAAGCTGCCTCCTGTACCCCCGCATGCGCCGCATGCTTTTCCATTGCCCTTACTACCGCCTCCATCCCTCCCGCCTCGCTCACTCTGACCTCGTTCTTGCTCTTTTGAACAGTCATAACGCTCAGGAACTTGCACGCAGCCTCCTGCATCTCCGCAATCTCCTCGTGCTTCAACATCCCATTGACCGCTATTTCAATCGCTCCTGTATTCACTACGTCCAAGTCATTGATGGTGGCTCTGCTGATCATGCTTGTTAGTAGCTTTAAGCCTTGCTTCTGCACCCCGGCATGCTCCAAATTCCGCCCCATTCCCCAGACAACTGCCTCGATGCCCCCTGCTCTCCTCACTTGCATCGGGTTTTTTTCGTCGCAGCTTATCAAGCTGTCCAAGGCCATAAATCCTGCCTCCTGCACTCCTACATCTTCCTTGTGGGATCTCATCTCGCAAATCACCATGGCAACGCTTTGATTGAACTCCTCGCCTTGGCAACTGACGACTTCTTCGGAAATCTTCCTTAGTTTCGCGCATCTGTCCTCATCCCCTTCATTTTCACCACTGGCCCTTTTGCGCTTGTTCATCTCTGATCCCTCCCCTCGCAAATTGCCCATACTCACCACCAACTCAGAGAACTTAGGGCGGTTCTCGTCGTTTTCCTTCCAGCAGCATTGAACCAGCTCCCAGACCCTGTCAGGACATCCTTCGTCTATCTCTTCCCTTCGCAGCCGCCCACCATCGCACACATATGCAGACACACTTTCATCGTCTGCAATGTGAAAGTAAGGGGTCTTGCCTGAAGTCATGATCTCCCAACACGTTACGCCGAACGCCCACACGTCGCTCTTCTCCGTGTATTGCCTCTTCTTGATCGCCTCGGGTGACATGTAGCGAACTGGCCGACCATTGGTATTAAACGACAGCCGTCCATTCATAATTGCTTCCATGCTGTAAGTGCAATGGTTGCTTCCTGTTAACAGCCCGTAGTCCGCCACCTTTACAGAGGTCTTCTCCGCATCCTTCTGGTTGAAGCCGAAGAGCAGCACGCTCCGTGTTGAGAGATCTTGGTGCAAGACACCATTCTCTGCAAGAAACTCCATGCCCTGCGCGATTTGCTGCATCATCACTGCCTTGTGCTCCCAGGAGATCTGACCCTCGAGGTTCTCGAAGGCGCCATGGAGGGTCCCAAACTCGGCAAACTCCCTCAGCAGCAGGAACCAGCCGTTGTCATCACACCGCCCCATGTACCTTGCGAGTCGAGGATGCCGACCGAGCTGCGGAAATTTCCCTGATTCCATTGGACCGGCTTGCTTCTTCACCTTGAGCACTGCCACTGGCACTCGCCGAGGCTGCTCCCCTTGCCCGCGCACATGGAGATGTCCCTTGTAGACGATCTTGAGAGAGCTCACAGAGATGGGCTGCTGCTCGATCTCAAATTCGCTCCTCGAGATCAAATGCGCCCGGTGCTCCTTCCACTCTTGGATGGCATTGCGGAGATTGTGATTGGGGATGAGCCCGCTGCCTTGGAGGGGCATTCCAGTCATGGGGCTGACGGTGTTGGACTGCAGCCAGGTCTCGATGGAGGATCTCTCGTAGGTGAAGCCGTCAGAGCAGGTGACTGGGTTGTTCATGAGCGCCATGCTGATGGGGCAGAAGAAGGAGGGAAGCGTCGCTTGCTCATCGTCGGCCATGATGCAAGTAGAGAATGGCGGGAGAAGTGGTTTGGTGATATTTGAAATGTTTTATGTCAATTTCAAAATAATGAAACTCATTTCAATAACATTTCATGACAGTAGTCGGACTAAGCGGGACTCGTGACCGTCGCCGGGGCCCGGGCGGGCGCCGGGCGCCGAGCCGGGCCACGGCGCGGCCAGGTGCCGCGGGCCCTGACTCAGTGACGAGCTGCCGCCGAACTTCGGAACTTCCCGGGCCTCCGACGTCTGATGACCCGGTGGGTTGTCCTCGTACTGATTTTTAACCTGAGATTTGACAGTGTTCGAACGGTGAGTAAAGTTCACCGGCCCGGGCACGACTCACGGCGAGTCGGCTAGTTCGGGGCAGCAAAGGGTTATCGAACAGCAGGCGCCGGCCGCTGGTGAAGTGCTGCAGGGTCGAGGATCGGTCCTTAGACAACTGGCAACAAATTTGAACTGATGCAACTACACCCACGGTTTTGCTCCTGGCCAGTGATCATCCCGGACTCAAAGTTAGGCTGCGGCTCGGGCCTAGTGTAGGCTAAACTGTATCATCACTGATCGCACTGTCATGTTGCGGCCGTTACTCGTCGGCTTACTGCTTGTTAAACGCTTGAAGTTGTGATGGGAACAACTCCGACACGTACTGAATAAGAGGCCCCCATGATCGGGGCGGAATGGTGGCAGTTACGGTTCAAGATGCTTGTTTCGTGTTGTTTTGTTTGCTTTTGGCTGTTGGTTGCCACTGCTGTTGGTTTTTCATGTTGATTTGATCAGACTAAGTCAAAACAATGCTGCAGCATTAACCTGATTCTTGCAATACTGACTTTTTGCTAGACTGAGGAGGTTTCGAGTCTTTCCAGGTAGGGACTGAATCACAATGCCAAAGGACATGTGTTTACTCAAGTGGAAGTGACAAACAGAAACGAGCTAGGCAGGAAAGAGACTGATCAATACATACATCACTTTGTTCATTGGTTATGCCGACTGCCATTTGGCATGGTCAACTCACAAAAGACAAAGTGGATGGCATCTCCTATATCGTCCCTAGTGGCGGAGGAAGATATTTGAGATCGTGAAGCGGCTCAGAGTAAGGCGACAATGGAAAAGGACGCTGGGTGTAGGATGGGTGGGAAAGATGGAGCAGGAGCAGGAGCAGGAGCAGGAGCAGGAGCAGAAAGATTGAGAGGCAGGAGCAGGAGCAGGAGCAGGAGCAGGAGCAGGAGCAGGAGCAGGAGCAGGAGCAGGAGCAGGAGGGCAACAACGGGGAAGGAAGCGGGGCAGAGATGGGAGGAAACGATTGAGAGGCAGGAGCAGGAGCAGGAGCGGGAGCGGGAGCAGGAGCAGGAGCAGGAGCAGGAGCAGGAGCGGGAGCAGGAGCGGGAGCAGGAGCAGGAGCAGGAGCAGGAGCAGGAGCAGGAGCAGGAGGAGCAGGTGATGGCAATGGTTGCAGTGGCAATCAAGGCGAGGAAGGAGTGGATGTTTTACAGGAGCTGACTCGGTGATGTCATGGGGCACAGCATGGAGCGCAAAGAGGAGAGGGAGAGAGGGGGGAGGAAGAAGGGAGAGGACGGGATAGGTTGAAGTGGAACCCTGATACGAGGACGGGAGCAAGCGAGCCCCTTGTAAGGGGATTTCAACCCCTGCCTTCTGTTTCTTTTTTTCCTTGTACGTTTTCTTTTTTTTAAAAGTTGTCTGCGTTTTTGCCCTGGATCCACATTTCGTGTCGACGAGCAGGTCGGCAGGAAAAGGGCGAGAGGAAGAGAGAATGGCGAGACCGACAGTTAGGAGGAAGAGATGAAGAGATGAAGAGGAGAGTGAGGAAATGAGCGGGAGAGCGGGAGAGTGGGAGACAAATTGGAAAGGAGGGAGGGAGGGAGGGAGCGAGGGAGGGAGCGAGCGAGGGAGGGAGCGAGGGAGCGAGGGAGCGAGGGGACGTGGGGGGAGGGAAATGGCGAAGGGGGTAGAGGAGGTGGGAAAGAGGGAGGCAAGGCAGGGAGGCAGGGAGGTTGGGAGGCAGTCGGAGGCAGTCGGAGGCAGTCGGAGGTAGTCGGAGGTAGTCGGAGGCAGTCGGAGGCAGTCGGAGGCAGTCGGAGGCAGTCGGAGGCAGGGCAACTGCAGGCACGAGGCAATGAAGGCATGCATGAAGGCATGCAAGCAAGGACACAGGGACAGGGCTGGCATGGCAGGAAAGAGGGAAGGATGAAAATATGAGGGTTACAAGGCCGACAGGTACGCGGTTGAAGTTAGTTAGGGAGACTGAAGGGGAAGGCACCAAGCAGTGGCCATGCAAGCTGGGAGACGTGGATGACGGAAAAAGGCATGGCATGGAGAGGGGACAGGGAGGGAGAGCAGGGAGGGAGGACAGGGAGGGAGGACAGGGAGGGAGGACAGGAAGGGAGGACAGGGAGGGAGGACAGGGAGGGAGGACAGGGACCCCAGCAAGGGAGCGAAGACAGTAAGGAATGGCGTGGGAGCAGACGAGGGAGCAAAGAGTGAAGTGGAAGCAAGGAAGGGGCAGTAGTGAGGGAGTTAGAAAATCCTCTGATTGATTCCATTGACCTATGAGTCTTTTATCATCTTCGTTCCTCGCACGATGAACGCAAAAAGCAACTGAGCGAGGCACGCCAAATGAATGGAGGAGAGCGAGGAGGAAGGGTGGGGTGAGAGGTATGGAGAGAGGGGCTGGAAGAGGAAACTTTGTTTACGCCGAAAAGGAAAGGATGAAGGAATGAAGGAAGCAAAGTGTTGTTGAATGAACGAATGCATGAACGAAACGACGTTCGATGTGAATTCATATCAAGCATCCAATATGATCTCGTATTTACTTTATTCGAGCCTTTTGCTAGCCTGCAACCATGCGCTTACAGCTCTGAAAGGCAAACAAAAAGCGTTGTGCAAACCACCTTCGGGAATCTGAGAGAGAATACACAGCCAAAAGAATTTTACGCACAACAATGACGTAGTTATTTGAGCACATTAACTAGGAAATAAAGTTATCTGAATCATTCGAATGCTCATTGTGATATGCTGTTACACAATTTGTATAGGGAGACTGAACAATTCCCTTGAATCAACACAGCAATCAAAGATGAACCTTGTTGCAAAGAAATATTCGTGATTGTCAACATGCACGAGTCCGTATGACCTCACATGGGAAGAGATCAAGAAATGATAAAAAAGTTTTGATTTGATTCGTTTTAACAAAGAAAATGAAAAGATCTTCACAGAAATCTTTTGAAAATCTCACCTCACTTCACCTCACAACTTCACTTCACTTCTCAAGGACACTCTTCTCACATCTACCATTCAACTTTCCTCTTCTGATCTCTTCACTTGACGAGCTGGGCGTACTTCAAATTCATCTCTTTCACACCCACGACCTTAGCATAGCTCGACAGCACCCGGTGCGCGTACTCCGGCTTCAAGATCTTGCTGATCGCTGCCTTGCTCTTCCCGTACATCCGAGCCAGCGTCTTCTGGTCCACCGGAGGCCTCGAGGAGGACGGCTCGTAGTAGAGCTTGATGATGTCCGTCTTCTCCGAGAGCGTCAGCCTCGACCTCCCAGTGCATCGCTCGCTGTGTCTCGCGCGAGCCTCGCCGTCCCACGTCCTCCCGTGCTTGGATGGTATCGCTGAGCAGGTTTCTTGCAGGCAAGGGGAAGGAGGGCTACAGAGCAGGAGAGAGCCTTGGTCGCTTTCTGACGGCGGGAGCTGGCAGAGAATCGAAGAGTAGGTCATGGAGCTTTCCATCTCAACGAGAGGCCAAAAGTCGAGTTGGAGGAATAGACGAGCTGGAGCGAAGGAGGAAGGCGATAGCAGGCTGTAGCGACTGCGGTGGCAG